GCACTCTACCCAGGGGGATAGCTTGAGGCTCTGTCTCAAAAAAAAAAAAAATCTATTGTCCATAATTTACTGCTTTGGTATTACTGATGTTCAATAAGAAATTAAAACATAATATGTATACCATGGAATACTATTTAGCCTTTAAAAGGATGGAGACTTTACATCTTTTGTATCAACCTGGGTGGAGTTGGAACACATTCTTCTTAGCAAAGTATCACAAGAATGGAGAAGCAAGAATCCAAAGTACTCAATTCTAATAGAAGCCAGTAGATGACCTAATACATGCCCACATGAGAGAAAAATTCAAATCAATTCAAGGTGGGGGGTGGGGGAACAAGTGAGCAGGGAGAGGGGAGGAAAAGGGATAGGTGTGCTCCCACTTAATGGGCACAATGTTAGGGTGTATAGCACACCTATTGGGGGTAACACAATTATAAGGACTTTACCTAACAAATGCAAATATTGTAACCTAATTATTTGTATCCTCAATTAATTCAAAACAATTAAAAGAAAATTAAAAATAATTTGTGGAATTACAAAACAGAAAAATACTACAAAATACTTCTTGCTAAAAAAAAAATCACTAAGGAAAGGCTATCCTTTACATATTATTTTGTGTGTACACACACGTACATTCACTCACAAAGATTTACATTACAAAGTCTATAAGCTATGATCTCCCAATGCCGTATTATATGTTTTTTCTGTCACTACAGATATCTGCCATCATTTTAGGTTAAGACATGTACAGGAATAAATATGTTAAAAGTCAAATTCCTATAGAGGAATGCATACTTTCATTTTAAGTAATCAATGACATTGTTGATATGTTATTTATATTTTGGTATTTTAATCTCAATGATAAATTCCAATTATATAATTTCCAAATCAAAGAGACATACAACCTATATTCTGTTATATACTCCTTTCCCCAAAACATAATTTACATCTGCCAATAGGTGAGAGCATGTAAATGTCAATACTGTTCCAATAAAACATTTGAAAAAATTATCAAATTTCTACGATTTTTTTTTGTATTTGCTTTGTGGGTGTAGGGTAAGAATATAGTACAGCCCTTACTTGAGAAATTTTGATAAGAGAATAGTACTATAATAGGAAGCCAATTATTTCACAGTATAGATGGAAACACCAAGAGTTAGAAATCGAATAAATTCAAGATTAAAAAAAGTAATTTATTTTATCATTGCTTAACTCAGTGGTTCTCAACCTTCCTAATGCCGTGACTCTTTAATACAGTTCCTGTAGGTTGCGACCCACAGATTGAGAACCGCTGCCAACTACTTACAACACTTTAAAAATGTTATAGTTAACCACTGCCTTAACATTGAAGGATAAAAATTCAGTTGTGTAATATTCAGTAATCTGTTGTTGTAAGGTTAATAAAACTTATTCAGTATGCATTGTCAGAAAAATCACAAAAGATGGTTCAATTTATACTGTATACAACCTTTGGAAAACTAGATAGGGCCCCAAACAATAAGGGCCCAACTCCAGGCTAGAAATAGGACAAGAGTTAACTGCAATAGGGTAATATCATACCAGAATTGTACACTGGAATATTCAGTATTTCAACAAATGTTTGTTTTACTGAATATTTATTCTATAGGTCTTATCTCTGGATACAATATTCAATACTGTACATTTCCTCCTTTTGAGTAATTTAAAAAATACTGATCACACCTTCAAGCACTTGTCAATGTTAAGGTTGTATAGATTCTGCAGCAAAGTTCCTTCCCCAATGGAGATTATGGTTTAGAAGACATCCATTCTGGCACCCTCATCACTATACTTTTGTTGAAGACCAAACCAAACTCTTTTCCTTTTTAAGTCATATCTCCTAAGTGACATCTGATAGAAGCCAAACATCTAATTAAAGTCCTTACTGTATCACTTACAGCAGTTCTCAGCTGTGTGGCCACTGCTCCACTGGGATATAGTGAGGTATTGCTTTAAATGTTTACATAAAACAAGTATTTCCTCTCCTGTTAAATGTGATTACAAAAATTCAGGTTGCACATGAGTTTTTAAAAATGATCACTTTGTAGAACAAATTTCCTGTGACAATTCTCTAAGTTTTTTTTTTTTTTTTTGGAGACAGAGTCTCACTATGTTGCCCTTGGGAGAATGCAGTGGCATCACACCTCACAGCAATCTCAAACTCTTAGGCTTAAGCAATTCTCTTACCTCAGCCTCCCAAGTAGCTGGGATTGCAGGTGCCCGTGACAACACCTAGCTATTTTTTGTTGTTGCAATTATCATTGTTGTTTAGCTGGCCCAGACTGAGTTAGAACCTGCCAGCCTTGATGCACGTGGCTGGCGCCGTAACCACTGTGCTACACGTGCTGAGCCAATTCTTTGATGTTCTTACCACTCTCACCACTTTCATCACCAGCATGAATTTTGTGATGACTTACGAGGTTTGATCTCCAGCTGAAACTCTTATCACATGTCTCACATTTGTAAGGTTTCTCCCCTGTGTGAACTCTCCTGTGATACTGAAGTTGTGAAGACCGACTAAAGACTTTACTACACACATCACATTTGTATGGTTTCTCTCCAGTGTGCACATTCTGATGAAGCTGAAGACTTGAGGCCTGACTGAAGTGTTTCCCACATTCCCCACATGTATATGGTTTCTCTCCTGTGTGCACCCTCTGATGCATATCAAGATTAAGGCTCCACTTGAAGCCCTTCCCACACTCTTCACATTTGTATGGCTTTTCTCCAGTATGGACTTTTTGATGAGCCTGAAGGTGTGCACTCCGACCAAAGCTTTTCCCACACTCCTCACATTTGAATGGTTTTTCTCCACTATGGATTCTCTGATGGGTCAGAAGATGTGAGGCTTGACTGAAGACTTTCCCACATTCCTCACAACTATATGGTTTCTCTCCCGTGTGAATTCTACAATGAATTTTAAGATCTGCTCTTCGATTGAATCCCTTTCCACACTCTTCACATTTGTATGGTTTCTCACCAGTATGGATCAGCTGGTGAATCTGTAGTCGCGAACACTGATTGAAGCCCTGTCCACACTCTTCACACTTATAAGGTTTCTCCACACTATGTGCTTTCAGATGAATTTTAAGATATGAACTCTGACGGAAGGATTTCCCACATACCTCACATTTATAAGGTTTCTCTCCTGTGTGGATTACCAGATGTACTTGATAATGGATTTTCATTCTGAACCTCTTCCCACACTCATCACATTTGTATGGTTTCTCTCCAGTGTGGACTCCCTGATGGGCCTGAAAACTTGAATTGTAAATGAAGCCCTTACCACATATTTTGCATACATATGGCTTCTCTCCACTGTGGATTCTTCGATGAGCCTGAAATTGTGAAGGCTGAATAAAACACTTACCACATTCTTCACATTTGTAAGGTTTCTTGCCTGTGTGGACCCTCTGATGGATACGAAGATTTGAGCTACAAGTGAAACACTTCCCACAGTCCTCACAGTTATATGGTTTCTCTCCCGTGTGGACCATGCAGTGAGTATTAAGTGCTGATCTACGGCGGAAGTTCTTACCGCATGTATCACATTTAAAAGGTTTCTCTCCTGTATGGATTCTCTGATGTTCTTGAAGATGGGAAGCATGTATGAAGGCCCTACCACATTTCTCACAATTATAAGGTTTCTCTCCTGTGTGTAATTTGCAATGCACAGTAAGTGTTGATCTACGGCTGAAGCCTTTCCCACATTCCATACATTTGAATGGTTTCTCTACAGTGTGGACTCTATGATGAGTTTGCAGATGTGAACTGTGACTGAATTCTTTACCACACACATCACACTTATAACGTTTCTCTCCCATGTGAACTCTCTGATGAATATGAAGAGCTGGGCTATAACAGAAGCTTTTTCCACACTCATCATATGTGTGAGACTTTTCTCTTGCATGTAACTTTTGATGAAGATCAAAGCTGCAGACATCAATGAAGGATTTTTTACAATCATGACACTGGTAAAGTTTGTGTCCTGTGTGAGTTATAGGTAGTTCTGCCCCAACCTGGTAAGACAAATCAGCTTGTCTAGGAAACTGAGAAATATTTATCACAAAGGCTTGAAACCTGCTTAAATCACTTGTGATTTGTTGCCATATTTGCCTGTAGGAAAGCTCTTCATGTGGTCCTGTTTCTGGAATAGTCTCCCTCTCACTCTGGATCTTGTCTGCTGTAAGGACAGAGAATTCAGAGATGTGGAAAAGGGAAAGCTCTGTTTAAAGTTTCAAGATTTCATACTTAGGAGATAGCATGACATTTTAAGAATTCCAGAAAAGGTCCAATCATGGTCTTTCTTTAGTTTACATAAGTAGAGAAACCAAAAGTTGATTTAGATGGTTGCTATCCACCAGGCATTAATGAGACCTATTAGACCATACCAAGTATCCCATATGACATACAGGCTAGAAGTCAAAGACTTAATTCTTTTTTCTTCAGACAAAGTCTCACTCTCTTGCCTAGGTTAGAGTGCCATGGTATCAGCCTAGGTCATAGGAACCTCAAACTCCCAGGCTCAAGCAATCCTCCTGCCTCAGCCTCCTAAGAAGGAGGAATACAGGTGAACACCACAACATCCAGCTGTTTTTTTTTATTTTTAATAGAGATGGGGTCTTACTCTTGGTCTGGTTGGTCTTGAACTTCTGAGCTCGGCCATCCACCTGACTTGGCCTTGCAGAGTACAGAGATTACAGGTGTGAGCTACTGCGCCCAGCCCAAAGACATAATTTAAAATTTGACAATATGATACAAACTGTTAACCTACTGCCATTTCTACTGAATTATAAAGTCAGCATGGAATCCTGGATAGTAAATTATAAAAACATGGAATGCACACAGATAATAGAATACGAATCGACAAGAACTTTAAAGAAACACAGACTCAGTGCCTGCAGCTCAAGTGGCTAAGGCGCCAGCCACATACACCTAAGGTGGCGGGTTCAAATCCAGCTTGGGCCGCCAAACAACGACAGCTGTGACCAAAAAAATAGTTGGGCATTGTAGCGGGTGCCTGTGGTCCCAACTACTTGGGAGGCTGAGGCAGGAGACTCGCTTGAGCCTAGGAGTTGGAGGTTGCTGTGAGCTGTGATGCCACTGCACTCTACCCAGGGTGACAGCTTGAGGCTCTGTCTCAAAAAAAAAGAAACACAAAAAATAATCAGATACTTTGCAGTTTGGGTTCATGCTTTTTTTCTGAATGCTTTTCCAGGATTTTAAACTATAGTTTGCTACAGGGCTATAATTTTTATTTATTTATTTATTCAGAGACAGAGACTCACTTTGTCGCCCTCAGTAGAGCAGTGTGGCATCCCAGCTCACAGCAACCTTCAACTCTTGGGCATAGGCAATTCTCTTGCCTTAGCCTCCCAAGTAGCTGAGACTACAGGGGCTCGCCACAATGGCCGACTATTTTTTCTTTTTTTGTTGCAGTTTGGCTGGGGCTGGGTTCGAACCTGCCACCCTTGGTATATGGGGCCAGCGCCCACTCACTGAGCCACAAGTGCTGCCCCAGAGGGCTATAATTTTTAATCAGAAAAACTATTGGGAATGGCCAATTTATCTACAGCCATAGATTCAAAAGGAACCAGCAGGCCCTATGCTTTCTTTTCATCTCAAGTGATTCTTGCCACCATTGTTTTTCTCATTAGCAGCATCATTGAAGTACCCCATCACTCACACACTTTTTCGGTTTCCCCATAAAATTACAGTTTTCTGTCCTTTTTCTATTTCAAATAACTTACTTGAAAATGATGATTTCTTTCTAGGGCTTGACTAATTTTCACAAAAAGTCAAACTGGGATTCACTTATTTATGTGACATGCATGTGTTGAACACTTAGTGTGACAGGCAGAGTTCTGGACAATGATTAGAGAGTAGGAAAATGTAAAATGTGTATAACATCCAAATTTTAAAATGTTTCCCTTATTGATGCTGGACTGTGGTAGGAAAGACATACATTAAACAATCAGTGACTTACTGTGTCAGATGATGAAAAAGAGCTGTGAGGTGAACTAAGCGAAATCCTGCCTATCCACTAACACATTCATTATGCTGACAAATATTTAGATACCTGGACTGTTCTAAGCACTGAAGTTAGAGCAATAAACAAAACAGACAAAATTTCTCCATCCTTGGAGCTTACATTCCAGTGGGGAGAAAGAGGTAATATGCAAGTAAACAAAAGCCTATGAGATAAAATGTAAGGCACGGCAGAGAAACCAGAATGAAGTAATGAAGGGGCCAAGAGGATTTTAATTGAGTTTTCCAGGCAGAGAGAGGAATAAATAAGGGCTTTGAGGCAGAAGTGTCTTTAACAGGCAGAATAATTATTCCCCAAAGAATCTGAATCCTAATTCTTAGAGCCTAAGAATATGTTCGGGTAACATGACAGAGTAAAGTTGCAAAGGAAATTAAAGATGCTAATCAGCTGACCCCAAAATAGAAGATTAGCCTATATTATCCAGGTGGGCTCAGTGTAATCAAAAAAGTCCTTGTAAGTGGGAAAGGGCCACAGAAGAGAAAGAGGAAAATGTGGCTATAGAAAGATCAGAGAAGCAATGGAGTTGGCTATGAAGAGAGGAAGGGGACCACAGGCTAAGAAATTTAGCAGTCCCTAGAAACTGACTGTGGCTCAAAGGAGTAGGGCACTGCCCCCATATACCAGAGGTGGTAGGTTCAAACCCAGCCCCAGCCAAAAAAAAAAAAAAAAAACTGAAAAAGAAAAGATAAGAATTCTTCTCCCCTAAAGCCTGCAGAAAGAAACACAGACCTACTGACAGCCTAATTTTGGCTCAGTGAGACTCATAGGACTTCAAACATAATAACTGAAAGATAATACATGTTATTTAATCTGCTTAACTATCAAATTAACTGTGGTAATTTGTTATGGCAGCAATACGAAATACAGTGTCCTTGGCAGATCTGAAAAATAGTAGAGAGACAAGGAGGAGAAGATAGGAGCTGTGGTCACACAGGCAGTGGAGGGGATGAGTACATCACATAGGGTTCTATGAGGTACTTTAAGACTCTTCAACTTTGAGAAAAATAAGAAGCCACTAAGCATATGGCAATTTGACTTCCACTTCCAAAGGATCACTCTGGTTCCAAGTGGAAATAGCTTATAGGAGGACAGATTTTATACTACTCAGGGTGGATGTAGGGCACCCAGTACAAAGGCTGTTGCAGTAGTTTGGGAAAGAGGCTTGGCAATTTGGACCAAATGACAGCAACAGCAGTACAAAAGATGAAGAAACATAGACAAGGACACCCAGTCACTTGGTTCTTACCTGATTTCTCTTTTCTTTGGATTGTTGTCTTCACCATATCAGACGTTTTTTCCTTTTCTAAGTAGAATGCATCATGTTTGAAAGGGTGATGTCCTATGAACATGCAGTCACATATTTAAAACACACAAAAGATACAACTTACGAGAAATTTGAATTCTTATTGCATATGGGTCAATTAATCAAAAGCTATGCTTTTCAAACATTTTTTTTTTTTTTTTTTTTTTTGAGACAGAGCCTCAAGCTGTCCCCCTGGGTAGAGTGCCGTGGCATTACAGCTCACAGCAACCTCCAACTCCTGGGCTCAAGAGAGTCTCTTGCCTCCGCCTCCCAAGTAGCTGGGACCACAGGCGCCCGCCACAATGCCCGGCGGTTTTTTTTTGGTTGCAGCCGTCATTGTTGTTTGGCGGGTCTGGGCTGGGGATTCGAACCCGCCACCTTAGGTGTACGTGGCTGGCGCCTTAGCCGGTTGAGCTATAGGTGCCAAGCCTCAAACATTTTTTAAGGATGGTCTATTGAAGAGATACCACTATTTCAAGACCCAAACACAAATGTATCAATACACATTACAAAAATGTATTTCTGGCAGAGTGTGGTGGCTCATGCCTGTAATCCTAGCATTCTGGGAGGCCGAGGTGGGTGGACTGCCTAAGATCACAAGTTCAAGACCAGCCTGAGCCAGACCGAGACCTCATCTCTACAGATAGGCATTGTGAAGGGCGCCCGTACTCCAGCTAGTTGGGAGGCTGAGGCAAGAGAATTGCTTGAGCCCAAGAGTTTGAGGTTGCTGTGAGCTGTGAGGCCACGGCACTTACCTAGGGGGACAGATTGAAACTCTACCTTGGTAGCTCACGCCTATAATCCCAGCACTCTGAGAGGCTGATGCGGGTGGACTGCCTGAGCTCACAGGTACAAGACCAGTCTGAGCCAGAGAAAGACCTCATCTCTAAAAATAGCCAGGCATTGTGGTAGGCACCTGTAGTCCCAGCTACTTGGGAGGCTGAGGCAACAGAATCACTTGAACCCAAGAGTTTGAGATTGCTGTGAAATATGACACCATAGCACTCTACTGGGGCTGACAAAGTGAGACTCTGTCTCCAAAAAAACAAAACCTATTATTTCAAAACAAAACCTTATTATTTCTACCCAATGTCAATTTTCATTAAATCTCCTTCCTCTGGATCTCGCACCTCTCATGCAATTGGCTGAAGTCTTTGCTATAATGTATTCCAGTCCTTCTAACAAACTCTGGTATTTTCTACCAAATTTTATCTCAATAAAAGTTGGTAATAGAAAAGTCAGGTCCACAAATGTGGGCAACTAATTCCAGATCTCCAAAGACCACAAAGTAACTCCAGAGGGCTGACTTTTGGTGCCAGAAGGTTCACATTCTCACCTACTGAGAGCAGGTTCTGGAAGTTCTCCAGCATCACATCTTGGTATAGCTTCCTCTGAATAGGGTCCAACAGCTCCAGCTCCTCCTCAGTGAAGACCACAGCCACATCCTTGAAGGTCAGTTTCTCCTATAACATTAGACACACCTAACTTCAATCTTAGTATCAAAGCCACTTGGAAAGAAACAGAGCTGAGAAGGCGGAGATTAAGGGATTTAAATCAATTTGTGGATATTCCAACCCTTCCCTCCTGTCTTGCCAATGCCACACTCTGATTTTCCCTAGCCTTACCAAATGCATACCAGTGACAACAGTCCTCATTATTTACTCTGTGCCCTCATTGAGTCTATTTATAAGTAAACATCTAAAGAACTCTAAATGATGTATCTGTGGCTATACATTTCACCTTTTGGTAAATAGTACCCACTGCCCCAGTAACATTTAGCAATTCAGTATGAACATACTTGAGAACACCCACCTTCCTCTTCTCTCACACAGGCACCTATTAACATCTGCCAAACTAACAAGCTCTCAGTGACACATCCAGAACAACCAGGTGAGTTTGTCTTTTGTACACTCAAGGCACACACCAGCACCATTAACTGCAACATTTGGTGTCATACTCTGGAGCCATCATGCCTCACAGCACATCACAAGGGTCTGTCCCTTCAAAGCTGTGTGACCTTCGACAAGTTCACCTAATTTGATCCCAGTGTAATAGTTCTTAAATGCCAGAGCTCTTTCAAAGATTGAGCAAAGACTATAAATGGCATCTGGAACAGTGTGAGGCACAGATTAAGTGCCTGACAAATGTCAGCTGTTATTTATCATTATTATCATCATTATCTATCTCATCTCATGACTGTCTATTATTCAAGGGAACACTGATGATCTATGTTTGTCTGTTCTAAATAATGAACATTCAATTTTACATCTTTTTCTCACTGTAACCAACCAACACTGCAAAGAACATTTTAGGCACATCTTACTTTCACGTCCATTTAAAATAATAGCAAATGAAATTTAAAACATTTTTAAAGGCTCCGCTCCTGTAGCACAGTGGTTACGGTGCCAGCCATGTGCATCAAGGCTGGCAGGTTCAAATGCAGCCCAGGCAAGGTGACCAGATTTTAATATTGGTAAAGTGGGACACCATTGACTGGGGGTAGAGTGGGAGGGGAGGGGGGGTTCTTAATTAAAAATTTGGTCTAGGCTTGGCACCTGTGGCTCAAGTGGCTAAGGCGCCAGCCATGTACACCCAAGGTGGCAGGTTCCAATCCAGCCCAGGCCTGCCAAACAACAATGACGGCTGCAACCAAAAAACAGCCAGGCGTTGTGGCGGGCACCTGTGGTCCCAGCTACTTGGGAGGCTGAGGCAGGAGAATCGCTTGAGCCCAGGAGTTGG